TCACCTCGATGAGCAAATGTATCCATACATTTGTGATTATTACTATATATAATAAACATTGATTGAAAGTGACATGCCCACAGAAGAATACTATGTCAATTAAAGCCCAGGAGACGTGACACGTATTTAACTATAGAGGTTGCTCTGCGCGCACCCCCTGAAATTGTGAGATTGATACGTCTTTCCCCCTTTTCCTTTCTATTGAACTAGTATGTCATATATGTCCCTTAATGAAACATTCCCTCATAAATGCTGGTTTGATTTCAAAGAAAATGTGCAAGTAAGTGGAACAGTTTCCTAAAGTGCAGACCCTGCTTTGGAAGAACCACTAGGGAATGAGTTTAAACATATTTTAAACAATGTGTTTATTCATTGTTTTTTTTTTTTTAATTAAGTGCAATTTCTATGTACATAACATAATTATTTCCATTAAAAAAAGCCACACCAATGCTTACTGGACCTTACATGCATTCCCAACACTCCTTTGTAGTTTTTTTTAGCATTGAAGTTTATTCCTGACCCTGTCAACAGAATGAGGGACAAAATCATTTCAACTTAAAAGGATTTCAATTCCACAGAAGAATTGTCTCCAGACAACACTGAACATGGCCACAGCTGAGCCGCATGCTAACAAAGCAACAACAACAAGACTGCAAACCAGGACAGCTTCAACACCGTGGGTCTCACATGCACTAACGTGCACGCACCGACGACCCGGCTGGGTGAAGGAAGCATAGACTCAAATAACATCACAGACATATTTCCAAAAATCCGTTTTTTTTTTTTTTTATAATGCTCTTCTAGATATAAAATAAACAACCTTTAAAGCTCAACTGAGCTTTTTCAGAGCTCCAAGCCACGTCACAGGGGTCCTCTTTAGATAAAGGATGAGAAGTGTTCATATATGGGGGTGAGATGGAAATAATAACAACTGTCAGGGAAGTTTCTGTGGTTAGTTGTGACATGTTTTTGACTGATGGAGGTCACAGTTGCTTCAGTCTTTTGCCTATAGGATCCTGAGTAACTAAATACATCCGTACAGTTCTCAGTTTAAAGAGGCCCTATTGTGGTTTCGGGGGGTTTTCCCTTTCTTGTCGTTTTTTATATAGTTATTTTGTGCATGTAAATGGTCTGCAAAGGCTATAATCCCAAAGTCCCAATCCCAAGTTTCTCTCCCACATGCTCCCCCCCCTGCCTGAAACACTTTAATTGGACTCCTTTGAGAACTTCTGTAACTTAATGACATCACTACGTCACTATGAAATAACTATTTAATATGTTAGCTCCCTCTTTAAAATGTTTGTCCATTCTTCTTTACTGCTGTAAATGTTGCGGCTGCAGGAATAATGAAGGATTTCTGATTCTTATTCCGTCCAATGAAACCACTTACCTCAACAAATTGTGAAAAACAGCCCCCTTTTTCTGCTCTGTGACGATGCATTTGACATTTTAGTTCATTGAGCTTAAAAGGAAGTAGGACAGTTGCGTAACACTTTGTGTGCAAAAATAAATAAAAACATGTTGTTTTCACTGGAGAGGAAAGGTATGACAAATTGTACTCTAAAATATATATTAATATCAAGAACTTGAGCAAATGCACTTTGTTACAGCTCGCCTCAGAGTAAATCCATCTTTGAAATTATTAGTTCCCTGCCTATGTCTATCCTACAGCTGAGCTCTCTCTGCTCGTGGAGAGGACATGACCTCTTTGGTACTTTGAAACCTGCTGCTTGTTTTCTGAAGGCTTTAAATGGACTGGATGGCACAGACCTTCAGCATACTTCATAGAAAACTGTAAGTGATTCCAGAGAAAGTTCAGGCTTTTAAGGATACAAAGTCTCGACAGCGGAAGAGCCTTTTTAATTTAAATCTGCAACATGCTTTTTATTCTCAATTTTTCTTATGCATGGCCATGAAAGTCATAATGTTGGTGCTGCGCATGTTGAATCAGATGTTTTGGATTATCAACTATTTTCATTTGCGCACAGCATTCTGTTTCATCGGATGCCCATGGATGTTTTCAGCCTTGATTTACTGATGAACTTGACAGCATTTGAACTTAGCTACCTGATTTATTCTTTTGTTTTCAACTATGTGGAATACGTCCTTTTTTATAATGAGTTAGGTTTCAGTGTGTTTTCAAGCACATAATAATAATGATGTGTTTTTAATAATTCAAGGCTCAAACATCCCAGTCCATCTAAAGAATTTCAGTTAATTTAGCTAACATCGAGGAATTCTCAAGACGGCCTTTACTGGGAAAGGAAAATAAGGATACAAACAGTGCCTGTACAAGCTTCTCTGTCAAGAGGCACACAAACAACATGTGCACACTATTCTCAAGCACACATGTCCATGGTAACTGCAGCAAACACTCCTGGACTTCAGTTATAACAAGAGAGATGACGGACATTAGGTCAAAGCTCTCCAACCCTGTGAACACCACAGTCTGTGAATCTGAACAATGTGGTCTGGAAAACCCCTTCAGTTTTTCTCCTTTTACTGTTGATGTTGTTCATGAAGCCTTAACCAAGTTAGATCCTAAGAAACCGGCTGGGCCGGACAACGTAGAACCTTTCTTTTTAAAGATAGCTGCTGATTTTATTGCACCACCCCTTACTTCTCTTTTTAACCTCTCCCTCAGCACGAAGACAATTCCAAAAATATGGAAGTCAGCTTATGTCCTGCTTTTACTAAAAGGAAGGGTTAGGTCAAAATGTGGATGGAGCAACTTTAAATTTTTATGCGGACGATACCGTGATGTATTGTGCAGGTCCCTCAATTAAGAAGGCTGTTGTTAAATTGCAGGCTGTTTTTAATATTATCTACGCAGCTCTCTGAACTAAAGCTTCTTTTAAATGTTGATAAAACTAAGGTAATGCTTTTTTCAAAAGCCAAAAAGACACCGGAGACCACTTTGGATATTGCCTCTCTTTTAAACTTCAGGTCAATAATCTGCTTAGAAAGCTGAGGGTGAAGCTAGGTTTCTTTTTCAGAAACAAGTCCTGTTTCTCACTTGAGGCGAGGAAAAGGCTAGTCACTGTGACCCTAT